ATCCATAAAAATCCTAGAAGAAAATGTAGGAAACAAAATTTCAGACATTATACGCAGCAGAATTTTCACTGATACATAACCTAAGGCAACAGAAACAAAGGAGAAAATGAACACATGGAGCTACATCAAACTAAAGAGCTTCTGCACAGCAAAAGACACAATAATCAAAATGGAAAGGCAACCCACTGTATGGGAGAGCATACTTGCCAATGATATATCAGATAAGGGGTTAATTTCCAATATATATAGAGTGCTCATACAATACAACAAAAGGAAAACAAAGAACCCAATTGAAAAATGGGCAGAGGAGGGCTTCCGGTCAAGATGGTGTAGGTAAACGAGGTATCGTGTCCTCCTACAACCACATCAAAGTTACAACTAAACTACAGAACAATCATCATTCAAATCTGCCTGAAATCAAGCTGAATGGAAGTCCTACAACTACAAAATTAAAGCAGCAGCCACATCCAGACTGGTAGGAGGGGCGAAGGCACGAGGGGCTGGTCCCACACCCACGAGTGGCGGATAAAAATCAGGAGGACACCTCGGCTGGGAAGGTCCTCCCTGAGGACTGAGGGGTCCCGTCCCACACCAGGTGCTTCGCTCAGGGTTCCAGTGCCAGGAAGAGAAGTCCCCATCACTTCTGGCTGGAAAAACCAGCGGGAACTGAGGCTCAGGGAAGCTGACGCAGCTGAAGCCAGAGGCAGCTCCTTAAACGGCCCGCGCACGGACTTATCGGACTCTCTCCCTCTAAGCTTGGAGAGGAGGCAGCTCAAGGGGAACCAGAGACATACAGGGAAGAACTGAGCTGTTTGGCACTGGAGCGAGGGCTGGAGAGGGGGCTTTCTCCGGGACAAACGTGCTGTCAGAGGCCTTTGTTCCTTCGGTGAGCCCTTCACTGGGGCAGCAGACAGCCCCATATCTGGGACTCCAGCAACCTGGCTCACACTGGTAGCCCCGCCCTGGTTATCCCCTGAGGCCCCGCCCCACCCAACTTTCAGGCCCACCCAAGCTGTTGCCACTTGCTTAACCTTATGATTGGCCTGTCTTGGATCCTGCTTCAGGTTTTCCTAAATTCTTTCAAACAAGCAGCATCTGGTCTCAGCTAGCCCCATACCACTCGTTAAGTAATACACGGAAGCAAACACAGGGAGGCAGCCAAAATGAGGAGACAAAGAAACAGGTCCCAAATGAAAGAACAGAACAAAACCCCAGGAAAAGAACTAAGCGAAATGTAGGTAAGCAACTTAACAGATGCTGAGTTCAAAATACTGCTTATAAGGATGCTCAATGAACTTAGTGAGAACCTCAGTGAACTTAGTGAGGGCCTCAAGAGCATAAAAAAGAGCCAGTCAGAAATGATCACAGGTAGAAATGAAGGAGGCATTAACTGAAATAAAGAATAATTTACACAGATTCAATAGTAGAGTACGTAAATCCAAGAAGCAAACCATCGATTTGGAATATAAGGAAGCAAAAAACACCCAATCAGAACAGCAAAAAGAAAAAAGAATACAAAAAAATGAGGATAGTGTAAGGAGCTTTTGGGACAACTTCAAGCGTGCCAACATTCGCATCTTGGGGGTGCCAGAAGGAGAAGAGCGAGAACAAGAAGTTGAAAACCTGTTTGAAACAATAATGGCAGAAAACTTCCCTAACTTGGTGAAGGAAACAAACATACAAGTCCAGGAAGCACAGAGAGTCCCAAACAAGATGAACCCCAAGAGGCCCACACCAAGACACATCATCATCAAAATGCAAATGTTCAAGACAAAGAGAGAATCTTAAAAGCAGCAAGAGAAAGGCAGCTAGTTACCTACAAGGGAGTTCCCATAAGACTGTCAGCTGATTTCTCAAAAGAAACTTTGCAGGCCAGAAGCGAGTGCCAAGAAATATTCAGAATGATGAAAAGCAAGAACCTACAACCAAGATTACTCTATCCTGCAAAGCTGTCATTTAGAATCGATGGCCATATAAAGAGTTTCCCAGACAAGAAAAAGTTAAAGGAGTTCATCACCACCAAACCGTTATTATATGAAATGATAAAAGGTCTTTTTGAAGAAAAAATAAAATATATGAACAAAGAAAATGGCAATGAATACATATCTATCGACAATGGAATCTACAAACAAAGTGAACAGGCAGAACAGAAACAATCTCATAGATACAGAGAACATTTTGTTGGTTGCTGATTGGGAGGGGGGTGTGGGGGAATGGGTGAAAAAGCTGAAGGGATTAAAAGTACAGATTCATTGCTAGACTGACAAACCTCAAAGGGAAAGGGGTTGGGGGGTGGGAAGAAATAAACCAAAGAACTTATATGCATAACCAATGGACACAGACAATAGTGTAGGAAAAGGCGGGAGGGGGGCCGGCGTGGGGAGAAGGGGGTCAATGGGGGAAAAATGAGGAACATCTGTAATACATTCTACATTCAACAATAAAGATTTAAAAAGAAAAAGAAAAAGAAAAATGGGCAGGGGAACTAAATAGACACCTCCCCAAACAGGACATACAAATGTCTAAGAGACATATGAAGAAATGCTCAACATCACTAATCATCAAAGAGATGCAAATTAAAACAACAATGAGGTATCACCTCACATCTGTCAGAATGGCTGCCATCAACAAATCATCAAACAACAAGTGTTGGCGAGGGTGTGAAGAAAAGAGGACTCTAGTACACTGCTGGTGGGAATGCAGACTGGTGCAGTCACTATGGAAAACACTATGGTGTTACCTCCAAAAGTTAAAAATTGAACTTCCATTTGACCCAGTGATCCCACTTCTAGGAATATACCCTAAGAAGCCTGAAACACCAATCACAAAGAATATATGTACCCCCATGTTCGTAGCAGCACTATTTCAATAGCTAAGATCTGAAAACAGCCCAAATGTCCATCAGTAGACGAATGGATAAAAAAGTCGTGGTACATATACACAATGGAGTACTATGCAGCTGTAAGAAAGAAAAATATCTTATCCTTTGAGACGACATGGAGGGACTGGAAAGTATTCTCCTAAGCAAAACAAGCCAAACAGAGAAACACAAGTATCATATGATCTCAATAATTTGTGGAATATAATGAACATAACAGTCTGAGGAATGGGGTAGTCCCAAAGACATGGAAGTGGGGTACAGACAGACAATCTCCAGAAGAGTGGGTGATGGGGGAGAGTTAAATCACAGAACTTATATGCATTCATGCATGAAGAATGGACATGGGCCCTGGCCAGTTTGGCTCAGCGGTTAGAGCATCGGCCTGCGGTCCGGAGAGACCCGGGTTCGGTTCCCGCTAAGGGCACGTACTTCGGTTGCAGTTTGTCCCCGGCCCTGGTTGGTCGTGTGGGTGGCAGCCACTCGATGTGTCCCTTCACATCAATGTTTCTCTCTCTCTCTCCCTCCCACTCTATCTGTACAAAAAATGGAAAAATATCCTCGGGTGAGGATAAAAAAAAAAAAAAAAGAATGGACATGGACGACAAAGCTGGGAACAGGGCGGGGAGGGAAGGAAGGAGGGGAATCAGTGGGGAAAAAAGGAGGAACATCTGTAACAAAAATTAATTAATTAATTAATTAAAAAAATAAAATCAAGCCCTGGCCAGTTTGGCTCAGCGTTTAGAGCGTCAGCCTGCGGTCCGGAGAGACCCGGGTTCGGTTCCCGCTAAGGGCATGTACCTCGGTTGCAGTTTGTCCCCGGCCCTGGTTGGTCGTGCGGGTGGCAGCCACTCGATGTGTCCCTTTCACATCGATGTTTCTCTCTCTCTCTCTCTCTCCCACTCTATCTGTACAAAAAATGGAAAAATGTCCTCAGCTGAGGATAAAAAAATAAATAAATAAAATAAAATCAATACATAAAAATTAAAAAGAAAATGCACATAGTATGCAATTTATTAAATGACTTTCTATTTATTCACCCTAGGGAAATGTTTACATATGTATACAAGAGATAGGTATAAGGATATCCATTATACACATTATTTTGGTATCAAAATTCTGGAAATCTAAATACCCATCAAAAGAGGGATGTTTTACCCTGGCTGGGTTTGCTCAGCACTTAGAGCATCGGCCCAAATAGTGGACCAAATAGTTACGGGTTTGATTCTGATCAAGGGCATGTACCTTGGTTGTGGTTCGATCCCCGGTCCTGTTGGGGTCCTGGAGGAAGCAGTCAATCGATGTGTCCCTCTCACATCAATATTTCTCTCTCTCTCTCTCTCTCTCTCTCTCTCTCTCTCTCTCTTCCCCTCCCACCTTATCTGAAAAAAAAAAGAGAGAGATTAAAAAAATTATGATGTTTTTGTATTATAGAATACCACACAGTCAAAAGAAATAAAATATATTTCTTTATTTACACGAATCAGATCTCAATGTTGTGTAAATAAGAGCAATTTTAAGGACACATGAAATGCTTACAAAATTTTATTTAAGCAGGGGAGGATTTGAGATCTTCCTTCTCAGCACATGCCACCAGTTCGTCTCAAATTAACTTATAAAAATTTAAAAAATAAAAATGGACACATACTATGACGTCAGTTATGTATTTGTAAAGTACACACCCAAAATGTTAATAGTCATTATGTATTGGTGTTGGGAACACAAGTGTTAGTTTGATCATTTTTTAAATTTTTCTGTAATTAAAATTTTTCTCAAAATAAAAATGCAGAAAAAGAACAAGTAGGGAGCACTTAATTGTTCCAAGTGTCATATTTAGGTCAGATTAGATAAGAATTGAACATTGCACATTGGATTTAGCAATTATGTCAGTAACAACAAATATTTGTTAAGCATCTGTTAAGTGCATGGCAGTTTCACATGTTACAGAATAGGGAAATAGAGTATACACCTAAAGAGACAAGATATAGCTTTCCCGACTTTGACTCTGCAGATTTTATTTACATGATGATGGTGGTGATGGTGAACATTTCAATAAGCCATATTCTGTCTACATAAAAATCTCAAATCTCCTGTAACAACTAATTGCAAACTTTCTGCTTAGGTAGGATTTTTAGATCGGCAGAGGACATTGGCCTTGCTGGAAACATTCTATGACGAAAGTCCAAAAATGGTTAGATGTTTACTCCGAAATCCAAGACAATGTAAGTGCCACTCAGAGGGAATATGCTCCAATTGAAATAATGAAGTACACTAATATGATAATACAAGGCATTCTATCCCTGTGGAATTTTTTCACATAATGTCTCCCTTAGATCATGATAGCTATATCTACTTGTTCATTCCCCACAAAATTCAATCTTCATCACAAATAGATGAATTTTTCACTATAGTACAATACTAAAAGTTGTCAAGCTAGAACTCAATTTTAAATTCATTCAAATGAGGGACTTTTTTAGTAACAATCTGAATGTTTCAGAAATTAAGTTGGAAGTGGTAATTCCAGTTTTCATGTGCAACTTAGAATTCTAAGATTTTGAAGAAAAATACTTTCTTCTCCCAAGCATTTTACTTGTACACTTTTACTGTACTTACACAGTGAAATTTTTTATATTACCACCAAAACAAATAGGACCAGGGGTTTTATTTTAACTTTTTAAAAGAGAAAGTCATTGAGTGGATGGGTTTTCCAAAGAATGTCAGTATTTTATTTCTGTGTGATGATTTATTACTTGGATACTTAAAAATCTGTGGATGAGGTATATAGAGTATTCCCTAAAACTGTGGGAATCACAGTTATATAACTTAAATACTAAATGTTTTAGAAGGGAGGGGGCAGTCTTATGGCATAGTCCCACTCTTTGTAGTCCAGAACACCAGCATTGTTTTGGTCTTTTTTAACAGTGAGATTCTGGTGAATGCTTTTCAATCTTTTCCTAGAATTCTGAGCCAGGTGTCCACATAAGTTGTGGGGGGAAAGAATTGAGGAATGAAGAAGAAATAAAGGTAGAGAAGAAGGAAAGGAGAGAAAATGAATATTGGAAAAAATAACCCAGTGAAAAATTTTCATGGATAGAGATGTGCTTTTATTTTGATATTGTAGATCTTGCAAAGGTATTTGAGGTAGAAAACATGTGTCCCCTTCTTCATTCTATGCTAGCCTTATTGTGGGAGGACCAAAAGTAGAAAATAAGTTGTATTTACTTTGGCAGTTTAAGCAATTCTCCAACTAACAAAAGAAGAATCATGTTCATTTCAAAACCATACCTTTTAGAAGGGATACTTTCTAATTTACAGTAGTGAGCATCTTTTATGTTCAATTGGATACCTTTTTGGTTTTTGTGTTGCAGGGAAAGGTAACTGATATTTATTTAAAGCAATAGGTCTATATTATAATCACTGTGCTTGATACTTTTTTGCATTAATTTACTAATTCTGATTCTGCATAAGATCAATTGTTTAGGTAAATGTCTTGTTTTTTTGCATTAGGGCCATTCATTGAATTTGAAGAGATAGAGTTGCCTGAGTTCTGGGGAGACATGGATAATCAGAAACACATTTATGAAGACTTTGACAATGTGCTCTTAGAGATTAATAAATTACTGTCTGAGAAACATGCTAGAAAAAAACAAAGTAAATTGTTAAAAATTTCAGAAGATCAACATAAACGTGATAGCCATAGAAAATCAACACTATCAGAACAGCAGAGAGGTGCAATTGCAGGTCAAGAACCAAACAAAAATTTAAATGAAGACCAAGACTCAGAGTCAGCTGGAGAACAAGAACTGTACAGGGGATCAATAACAGCACAAGGACAACACAGAGAGTCAACAGTGCGACAAGGATCACGCAAAGGGTTACGCAGAATGTCAGTAATAGAACAACATAAAGGGTTAACTGCAGAACAAGGATCACGCAAAGGATCACGAAGAATGTCAGTAATAGAAGAACCACAGAAAGAGTCAGCTGAAGTACAAGAATCAAGCAGAGAGTCAATAACAGAACAAGGAGTACACAGAGAGACAATTGCAGAAGAAGGATCTCGTAGAGAGTCAGTAACACCAAAAGGATCACGCAGAAGTTCACGAAGAATGTCAGTAATAGAAGAACCACCTAAATGGTCAACTGAAGAACAAGAATCAGGAACAGAACCAGGAATACACAGAGGGTCCATTGCAGAAGAAGAATCACGCAGAGGGTCAGTTGCAGAAGAAGGATCTCGTAGAGAGTCAGTAACACCAAAAGGATCACGCAGAAGTTCACGAAGAATGTCAGTAATAGAAGAACCACCTAAATGGTCAACTGAAGAACAAGAATCAGGAACAGAACCAGGAGTACACAGAGGGTCCATTGCAGAAGAAGAATCACGCAGAGGGTCAGTTGCAGAAGAAGGATCTCGTAGAGAGTCAGTAACACCAAAAGGATCACGCAGAAGTTCACGAAGAATGTCAGTAATAGAAGAACCACCTAAATGGTCAACTGAAGAACAAGAATCAGGAACAGAACCAGGAGTACACAGAGGGTCCATTGCAGAAGAAGAATCACGCAGAGGGTCAGTTGCAGAAGACGGATCTCGTAGAGAGTCAGTAACACCAAAAGGATCACGCAGAAGTTCACGAAGAATGTCAGTAATAGAAGAACCACCTAAATGGTCAACTGAAGAACAAGAATCACACAGAGGGTCAGTAACAGAGCAAGGAGTACGCAGAGGGTCAGCTGCAGAAGACGGATCTCGTAGAGAGTCAGTAACATCAAAAGGATCACGCAGAAGTTCACGAAGAATGTCAGTAATAGAAGAACCACCTAAATGGTCAACTGAAGAACAAGAACCAACCAGAGAGATAATTCCAGAGGAACAGGACATAGACTCAACTTCACAATCAAGGGAAGGTAGTATCTTAAGAGAAGGTAAAAAATCTAGGGAATCTACTCCCTTTGAGTACATTGAAATCCCTCCACAGGAGGAGAAGACTGAGGAGCAAATACATGAAGGGAAACTGTTCATGATTTCTGAACTGTAAGAGGAAGATCAGTATCAAGTAGGAGAGATTATATGTTAGGTAGTCATGCAGTTCTCCTACAATTATCTCTGTTTTGTGGAGTGGTTTTTAAAGTCTTCATAAAACACTTGTTTCAATTAGAATCTTTTCTGGCATATCAGGTCATGCAAATCTCAGACATATTTTGCTACTCAGCATGAATCTAGACCATGACCAATCAATTAAGTGCAAATCAAAAAGTCTCTTGTTTATTTACCTAGAATTCCTTTTGTACTAGAAACCCATTTGTAAGGAAGTAATATTATATATAGGAATTTACATTGGACCTCTGAAAAGGCAGTAGAAGCCCTTTTGTTTTCCTTTTTTTTTAAAAAAAAACCTCATCCAAGGATATTTTTCTACTGATTTTCAGATAGAGTGGAGGAAGGGAGAGAGAGAGAGAGAATGAGAGAGAGAGAGAGAGAGAGAGAGAGATGTGAGAGAGACACATCAATTGGTTGCCTCCTACATGACCTCAACCAGGGCCAGGGATCAAATCACAACCTAGGTGCCTGTCCTTGACCAGAATTGACCCTCAGCTCTTTGGTCCAGGAGCCAACCTCTGAGCCAAACTGGTCAGGGCAAAGCCCTTTTGTTTTAAATGGTGTCTGATATTAGAAACCATGTTTTTAAATTTTCTTTATTTCAACTATAAAATGGATCTTGTTTTTTTCAGTTGTGTATAAGATATCTGTTCTAGAAAAGTTTCTGAAAGCCATATTTAAGACAGAGGGCACCCTGTATTTTAAATATTTGTTCTGCAGAAGACCTTTCCTCTGAATTGCCTGTGCTAATTTATGACCTTTTGGAAAATTCTAACCTTTTAGAGAGCCAATCTCAATACCACTGAAAACCTTAGTTAGACATAAATTTTTTTTAAATTTTGCTCTTTAATTCTATAGTCCCAAAGAAAACTTCTAAGAGATGAGTAACCTGTATTCTAGATACTACACTATCATCAACTAATTTGAAATCTTTTATTTATTTATTTTTTGAGCATTGTGTTTATTTCTCCACAGAACAAAGCTACTTACATAGGAATGTAGTTTAAAAAACTTAGTGAAGCCTTGGCCGGTTTGGCTCAGCGGTTAGAGCGTCGGCCGGCGGTTCAGAGAGACCCGGGTTCAGTTCCCGCTGAGGGCGCGTACCTCGGTTGCAGTTTGTCCCTGGCCCTGGTTGGTCGTGCGGGTGGCAGCCACTCGATGTGTCCCTTTCACATCGATGTTTCTCTCTCTCTCTCTCTCTCTCTCTCTCTCTCTCTCTCTCTCTCTTCTTCTCTCTCCCTCCCACTCTATCTGAACAAAAAATGGAAAAATGTCCTCGGGTGAGGATTAAAAACAAACAAACAAAAATTAGTGAAGTTACCGTTCAATCAGATGTTATGTTAATGAAGACTTAATTTTGGTTATATGTAACAGTGTTCTAAAATAACAGTATCTGAAAAACCATAAACAAAAACAAAATAACAATGTCTAAACAATATAGGAGTGCCTTTCTTTCTCATATAAGAGTCAAAAGTTATATGACAGCTCAGTCCCATGAAATCAGCAGTGGCTCAAGCTCCTTCTATCTTGTATGTCCTCTAATTATATGGTCCAAGATAGTTTACTACCATGTCTACATCCTGACCAGCTGGTAAGGAGAAAGGAAAACAGATAAGCATCACATCACTTCCCTTCACATATCATTGGTCAGTATATAGGCATATAGTGACACCTAGCTATGAGGGAGGCTAGGAAATGTAGCCCTCATTTTGCATGGCCAAATTGGGGTACAACAAATAGCTTTTGTCAAAGAGCTGCTTTCAACAACTAGAGTTATTAATTTATATTATTGTGGTTGATTATAACACAACATATATGGGAAAGTACCTAAAAGAAAGTTTTTGGTATTCTATATGCAAGGCATTTCTCTTATTTATTAACCTAAGAGTATATAATGTCCAACTCATAGGCATTTTTTTTTTTGTACCTTTTAGAAACTGCAAAAAAGAAAGTTCAGAAAGATAAATCCTGTGAACCCAAGTCCCAAAAAATAGAAGGAAAGTCATGGTCAGGTGATTCATTTAATCCTCCTTTCATTTATACTCTTGAACAAAAACATTGTGAAAGTGAAGTTAAATTGCCTATGTTATGGAATGTGTATTTTATAGGTGAACTTTTGACTTGTAACTTGAAGAAGTATGCCAAATGTGAAGATGAGGAACAGGCAAACTTAATCTATGGTAACTCCAGGTTCACAGGTACATGTTAACAACAAAATTAGAAAGAATATCACAGTCTGATTGATGAATTTAATTTATCATGGTACCCCATCATAGAGACTGGACTTAGTCAAGACACAATAGCCGGGTGAACCTTGCATTATTTTATCCCTGAGCCGATGGATCTAAACATATACAAGATGAATGTTTTGGGGTGTTAGTAGGCATGTGCTATTGATGAATGTTTTGCTTATACATTGATATACATATGCATTAGTATACAGGGTGTTTTTTAAATCATTGCATGGCCCAACAGCTGCTTTGAAGCTATGATCCAGGTATACAAAGTGAATCAGATATTAGATATTACTACTCAATAGAAATCATTTTAGCTATTCTTCTTCCTGGTAGTTTCACAACCAAACATGTGAGACAAGTGAGAATATAGCTTGCTAATGAAAACTTATAAAGAAAGATCTGCTCAATAGAGAGATCAAAGAGTAGCTTTAGCTCTCAGATAAACCATGTATTTAACAGTGATTGTTCTAATAAGTACTCATATTTTACGACAATGCTATTTTATCATTTTACCTTTCATCAACAAGTAGCAGAACTAATTAGATCAAGATTATTTTCTTCTTATCTGCAATTTTCTTGGATTCAGGTCTGGGTCAAATAATAAACTTTTTTTTTTTTTTTTTTTTTTTGCATTTATCTTTAGAGAGAGTCGGGGGGAGAGAGGGAGGAAGAGACAGAGAGAGAAACATGGATGTGAGAGAGACACATTGACTGGTCGCCACCCACACCATTCCAACCGGGGCTGGGGACAAACTGCAACCAAGGTACTTGCCCTTAGCGGGAACCAAACCTGGGACTCTCTGGTCCGCGGGCCAATGCTCTAACCACTGAGCCAACCCAGCCAGAGCCAAATAATAAACATTTTATCATCAAAATATTTTGGTGAAAATGCATGTTATTAGTCAAGCTCTTGTAGCCTGCTAGTTCATGTTCTTCTTCTCCTGGTCTTAACTTCTTTATTTCAATTTTGCTTTACTATTTGGAGAAAAAAAAAAGCATGAGTGATTTTTTTAAGTTATGTCAAATCTCATATGGAAGTAGTAAGAGCATGAATGAATAAATCAAGCATAAGTCACTGGGTTAAAATTTTATGAAATATGCCTCATGTTATAACAATGAACTTTGTGATAAATATATTAAGACTCTTTGGGGGAGAGGTTATAATGGTGGTATTTATAGATTTATTTAACTGGCAAGTCCAGATTGCAGCTGGCTTCAGACACAGTTGAATCCAATGCCTCAACAATAGCTGCAGGATATTGTGTTTCTCCCTCTCGGTCCTGTTCTTCTCCACATAACTTTTAGTTTTAGGTTGTTTTTTCCATACTATGACAAAAATGTCCATGAGAGTAATTCTAAGTCTACATCCTACCAGTTCAGGAATTGGAGTACAAAAAGAGGGATTCTTCCGCCAGTAGCTCCCCCAGAAGTTCTGGGTCTAATTTTCATTGTTCTATGGTGGATTATATTGCTGTAATATATAAATCATCGGCCAGACCTGTATCATGTGATGATCCTGGGGGCAAGGATGGAGGAGGTTAAGTACCACCAGATTTATCCAAACAGATGTGGGGAAGAGATGTTTTGTAAAAAAGAATGGTGTATTCCTCATGAAGGGAGCATAGATTTCTGATAGGAAAATAGTAGCAGATGTCCATTAAAATAAGTATTCATATATTTTTCTTAACTTTTGAGAAAGTGTTCCCTTTACTATTTTGTGTATGTTTCCTGCTTGATAGACCTACATTCAATTATCAGAAATATTCAGTCTTACAAAGAAGTGAAAGGAAGGAGTGCCTTCAATGGAGTTTCCTTCAATCTGCTCCAGTTTGTGCAACTCCTGGAGACATTTGTTGGTGAAGATACCCCATTGAGTGTCAGTGAGAACCTCACTTCCTTTTTTAAGAGAGGCTATGTTGAAACAAAAGAGGAGAAAATCTGTGCTTTAGAAGAGGTAAGTAATATTGTTTATCAATGAAACAAGTGAGGTCACTATTGTAAGTAAATCTGTCAACATCAGTTTTTCCAACTGTGGCTCTTCTTTTAAAATTTGCAATCAAACTTACCACTATTTCAATGAGAAAGACCATTAAATATTGTATTTTATTGTCATGTTTTCTAAGATCACACTCCAGAGAACTCATTCCCTTAATAATACCATGATTGCTAGTGGCAGGAGATGGCTTATTGTACAGCTTTGTTTTTTCATCACTGAAGTTTGAAAAACAGATTCTAAGGAGCAGATAAGTGTATGAGCAAAAATATGTGCATGTGTGTGTGTACTGTCTGCCATATAAGTGCATTAGCAAATGCACATACCTTGGGTTAGATTATGGCTTAAATATATATTTGTATTCATGTGCACTGCATCCAGGTAGTACATATTTTGTAAAAACTTACTACTTATTAGGTGATAGGTAAGTGCATACACATTAGCTGATATAAACAGTTTATGTGCTCTTATGAAATATGTAAATTAGATTCACCAGGCATAGTCAGTAATCTTATCAGCCTTATGAGTCTTCTCAGCTTAATTCCAGAGTTGATATTCCTTTTGCCTTCTCAATTGTAGTTCCCTCATTTAACCAAAAGATATATATTCACTTTTTTTTTAGCAATTAAATATATCTAAATATTAATTTAATTATTATCTAATTGATATCATTAGTAAAAAGTCTAAAAGATCATTAATGTCAAGTTAGGTCGATTTTAAATATAAAAAAGAAAATTTGAACACAGTCTTTTTTTAATTGTTTGAACACTGCCATTCATCCCCTTTCACTACAAAACATATCCCACCAAGAAGCCAGGCAGAGCACCCCATGCATTTATCACATTCCTGAACAAGCAGTGAGGGAGTGGAAATGAATGAATTAAATATTCTTAAAGAGGGTAGTCCTCTTCCTAAATTAATGTGTTTTAAGCCAATGCAGAGAATGTATGTTTTGTTTTGTTTTTTTTTGGTCTAGAGGAGAAATGGAGAAATGGTATTTAGATGATTAAAATGAAATGTTTCATTTTCTCATTAATATCATGTTTAGTCCCAAAGTAAAGCTGTTTTTTATAAAAAATACTGGACTTGAGGAACAAACGTAGGATGCCAGCTAGTACAATAAATGTCTTTGTGCTTTGTTATCTTGTTTGTATCCTAGGCTAGGCAAAATACTTCCCAAGTTAGACGGGGACTTCTCCTAGAAGCCCTCTTTCAGATGTGGGACAGTGATGGCTCAGGTTTTCTAGATCTGAAGGAAGTTGATGAACTCTTGTATACCTACAAGGAGGGAATGGAAAAAGAAGCTATAAAGAGAGGTAAAAATATAATATTCTTATTTAAGTTGTAGTTACAATTTGGCTTTAAGTTTCTTGGTACTATGACATATATACTGGTTGTTTTAAAACCATGAGCTACTACCTTTATACCTGCTGGTATGGCTATGAATTGTTCAGCTTTATTGAGATATAATTGACATATAACACTGTATAAATTTAAGATGTAGAACATGTTGATTTGGTACACTTATATATTGTGAAATTATTCTCATGGTAGTGTCAGTTAACACCTCCATTACCTCACATAATTATCATTTCTTTTTTGTGGTGAGAACATTTAAGTTCTACTCTTAGCAAGTTTCAAGTGTATAATACAGTATTGTTAACTATAGTCACTATGCTGCACATTAGATTCCCAGAATTTATTCATCTTATAATGTAAGTTTGTACCCTTTAACGAACATCTCTCCATTTCCCTACCCCCAGCTCCTGGCAACCACCATTATACACTCTGTTTCAATGTTTGGCTTTTTTAGATTCCACATATAAGTGAGACCATACAGTATTTGTTTTTCTCTGTCTGACTTATTTCACTTAACATAATACCTTCAAGATCCATCCATGTTATTACAAATGGTAGGATTTCCTTCTTTCTCATGGCTGAATAATATTTCATTGTACATACCACATTTTCTTTATCCATTCTTCTGTTGATGGACACTTAGGTTGTTTCCATGTCTTGACTATTGTGAACAATTAGGTAGTGAACATGGGGGTGCAGATATTTCTTCGAGATAGTAATTTTTTCCTTTGGATATATACCCGGAAATGGATTTACTGGCTCATATGGTATTTCTATTTTAAACTATTTGTGGAACTTCCATGCTATTTTTCATAGTGACTATACCAATTTACATTCCCATCAACAGTGCAAAAGGGTTCCCTTTTCTCCACATCTTCACCAATACTTGTCTTTTTTATTATGGCCATTTGAACAGATGTGAGATGATATCTCATTCTGGTTTTGATTTGCATTTCCCTGATAATTAGTGATGTAGAGCATCTTTTCATCACCTTTTGGTCATTTCCATATCTTCTTCAGAAAAAATGTCTATTTAGTTCTTCTGCCTATTTTTCAATTGGATTTTTTGTTATTGAGTTGTATGCATTCCTTATATATTTTGGATATTAACTTTTTATTAGATATATGATTTAAAAATATTTACTCCTATTCTATAGGTGGCCTTTTCATTTTGTTGATTGTTTCTTTTGATGTGCAAAAGCTTTTTATTGAGTTTTTTTGTTTGTTTTTTTTGTTTTTTTTTAGAGAAAGAGAGAGGAAGGGATAGAAATATTGATGGGAGAGAGAAACATTAATAGGCTGCCTCCTGTACACCCATACTGGAAATCTAACCCACAACCTGGGCATATGCCCTGACTGGGAATTGAGCTGGTGACCTTTTGGTACATGCAATGATGCTCAATCCACTGAGTCACACCAGCCTGGCTTGCAGAAGCTTTTTAGTTTGATGTTGTCCCATTTATTTATTTTTGCTTTTGTTGCTTACATAGTATGGCATTTAAAAATGGAAATAATGGAAAATAACAAGTGTTGGCAAGGATGTGGAGAAATTGGAACCCTTGTGCATTGCTGGTGAGAATGTAGACAATGTCAGAGCGATCAAGAGTGAAATATGTTGTAGAGTTCTTTGTTCAAGACTTTAACTCTATATGGTTAGATTCCTTCTGTGTACCTGGCTATGGTCAATCTTGGGGTTAAAAGAATCCAAACCATTCCACAGTTCTGCTTATTTTCCCTTCTTGTTGTATCTCTCTGCCTCTACAAGGTCTGATTCACTTCTAAAGTCTGGCTGGCTTGCAAGTTTCTCTTAAATATACTAACTCAACTTATTCTTCTAGATGACTTTTTCTTCTTCTATAATATATTTTTCTCTTCTGATCCATACTTCCCAATCAAGAGCTACTAAAGTTCTTATTCCAGCATAACAAATTCCCTCCTTCATTTGATTAGATCCCAGTAGAAATGGTTGTACTCTTCCCTTGGCTTAAGGGTTTGTCTAGTGACGTTGGTATACCAGATTTCCAAGTTTTAAAATTTTTTTTATGTGTTTATTGAATTTTAGAGAGAGTGGAAGGGAGAGGGAAAGATAGAAACATCAAGGAGAGAGAAACATTGATCGGCTGCCTCCTGCATGCCCCCTACTGGAGATCGAGCCTGCAACCCGAGCATGTACCCAGACGAGGAATCAATCCAACGACCTCTCAGGGCACGGGTCAATGCTAAACCACTGAGCCACACTAGCTCGGCCAGATTTACAATTCTTAAAGTATATAGTGTACAGTGGAAAGAATGATCAGGATTAGTTAAGTTCTTCTGCCCTAAGTTTATCAATTGTCATGTTATTTTTATTAACTATGTCTTTTGCAAACTTTACATTACACTACAATACTTTCTTAGACTACATCCAACAAGGATTTACTAAATAAAATGTCTTTTTGTTGTTGTTGTTAATCCTCACTTGAGGATATTTTTCCATTGATTTTTAGAGAGTGGAAAGGAGGGAGGGAGGGAGAGAAACATCGATATGAGAGAGACACATCGATTGGTTGCCTCCTGTACGAACCCAACTGGGATCAGGGATTGAACCTGCAACCCAGGTACGTGCCTTTGACTGGGAATCGAGCCCACGATCCTTTGGTCCCCAGGCTGATGCTCTAACCACTGAACCAAACCAGTCAGGGCTACTTAATGAAGTGTTGAAATGCAAAATGAAGTGGTTTTATAACATAGGCAAATTTCATAACACAGAATTGTGTTCTATAGAGGAAAGAACATTACACAATTGTCAGGAGAGCTAGGTTCCAATACTGGATCTTTCACTAAGTGATCATATGAGCAAGGGCAAGTTTTTAAACCTCTGTAGATCCAGATGTCCTCATTTGTAAAATAAAGGAGTTAGATACTAAGGATTCTAGAATTTAAGGAACCTGAGGATAATATTATAAGGATGTTTCAATATATGTAAGATTGAAGTACAGCAGTAGGGATAGATAGAAAGCATAACATGTAATGAATTAAGCCCAGCAAATAGAAAAGTAATGAGGAGGTACAATCTGCTGCCAGAAGAAAATGTCTGCAAGCAGGAAGAACCAATTATTATCTCCAAGGGTAGGCTCATACAAAATGACTCTCTGAACACATACTGGTAGCCACATGGCTTGTGGAGATGATTGATGAATTGATAGCCATATGAAAGATGAAAGGCAGATTTTGTTGTTGTTTTTTTCCAAATCCTCATGCAAGGATACTTTTTATCTTTATATAGAGTGGGGGAAAGACAGAGAGAGAGAAAGAAACATCAGTGTGATATAAAAAAGTGGAAGCACCCTGACCGGTTTGGCTCAGCGGTTAGAGCATTGGCCAGCAGTCCAGAGAAACCCGGGTTCAGTTCCCGCTAAGGGTATGTGCCTCGGTTGCAGTTTGTCCCCGGCTCTGGTTGAATTGTGCAGGTGGCAGCCACTCAATGTGTCCCTTTCACGTCGATGTTTCTCTCTCTCTCTCTCTCTCTCTCTCTCTCTCTCTCTCTCTCTCTCTTCCAGTCTATCTGAACAACAAAATGGAAAGGTGTCCTCAGGTGAGGATAAAAAAAATTAAAAAGTGGAAGCACATACCTTGTTCATGGATTAGAAGAATTAACATCATTAAAATGTCCATACTGGGATAGAAAAAAATGGCGGCAAAGTGAATGGAGCGACCCAGACCATCTCCCAAGACCAAACTGGATTTACAATGAAAATAAAGGCAAACCATCAGGAAAGGGCAGCCGAAAGACATCTTGGAGGACCACTTAACCAGAAACACCCACACAGTCCTGGTAGGCTTGCGAGGACGGGAGAGGGGACCGAGAGCCCAGGGTCCACAGCGGCCTGGGCAGGGGCCAGGAAACTCGGCGGGAAGTTAATCCTACCATCTCCCTTCCCACCTTGCTCGGGCCCTGGGAACTCTGTAGCCAGCTAAACTCTCCACTGAAGTCGCACAGACTCGCGGCCCCCAGGGAACTTGGCGGGAAGTTAATCCTACCATCTCCCTTCCCACCGTGCATGGCCCTGGGAACTCTGTAGCCGGCTAAACTCTCTGCTGAAGCCGCATAGACTCGAGGGCCCCAGGGAACTCTGCGGGACTAGGGAACTTGGCGGGAAGTTAATCCTACCATCTCCCTTTCCACCGTGCACGGCCCTGGTAACTCTGTAGCCAGCTAAACTCTCCACTGGAGCCACACAGACTCGAGGGCCCCAGGGAACTCAGCTGGACCAGGGAACTCGGTGGGACCAGGGAACTCGGCGGGACCAGGGAACTCAGCAGGAAATTATTCCCACCGCCTCCCTTGCCACCCTGCACGGGCCCTGGGAACACTGTAGCCTGCTAAGCTCTCGGCTGGAGCCACACAGACTCCTGGAGAACAGGGGACTTGGCGGGATTAAAGTGGGTCCTCCCTGGTGCATCCAAACCCAGAAGAGGGAGCCACAAACCGCAGAACACCAACACCCACTGGGAAAACTTGGCAGACTCCAAAGCCCACTGTGATAACCAAAATGGTGAGAAACAGAAACAAAAGCCAAATGAAAGATCAAGAGACCTCTACAGAAGATGAAATAAATGAGATGCAGTTAAGCAAGTTAACAGAACTAGAATTTAGAGCCATGATGTTGCGGAAGCTCAACAGCATGTGTAAGGACATGAGCAACATGAGTAAAGACATAGAAATGTTGAAAATAAACCATCTGGAAATGAAAAACCAACAGGAAGAAATGAAGAATGACATATCAGAAATAAAAAACACACTGGAAGGTCTAAAAAGCAGAGTAGGGGAAACTGAGGACCGGATCAGTGAATTAGAAGACAGGCTAGAAGAAATCAACCAATCAGAAAACCAAAAGGAAAAAAAGATTAAAAAACAGGAAGAGAGCTTAAGAGAATTGTGGGACAACTGGAAACGTAATAATATTCGTATCATAGG